CTTTATTATGATTTTGTAATACATCTACATTTTGATTTTGTAGTACATCTACATTTTGATTTTGTAATACATCTACATTTTGATTTTGTAATACATCTACATTTTGATTTTGTAGTACATCTTTATTATGATATTGTAGTTCATCGACATTTTTATTTTGTAGTACACCTACATTTTTATTTTGTAAGTCATGTTTACTTTGATTTTCAAGATAAGTAGAACTATATAAATTTTGATTGTGGTGTTTTTTTTTATATATTTTTTGAAAAAGATCAAGAGTGTTATTAATTTTATTTTTACCTTTGCAATTGATTTGATTTTTTATTAAAGCATCTTCATCTATTTTATGATAAGTATTTTCATATTGAGTTTCCATATTTCTCATAAAGCATGAAAAAACAATTTGTTTAGATATTTGTTGAAAAAATTGATAGATGTATACTAAAGAATTATCTATAAAATTAAATGGTTTTATTTTAAAAAGTAAATAATAAATTTTTAATAATGTTGTTAAGAATTCATTGATATTTATTTGATTTTTTTTTTTGGAATCATCTGAAAATAAAAACTGAACAAAATTTGTTTCATTATTTTCTTTTATTCTATTAAAATAAATAGAGAACATTTTATGTTTCAAATTATTTACACATTTAATGTGTTGTAACAATTTATTGTTATGATTTATAAATTGATATAATTCATAAAATGTAACAGATGAAAATTCAAAATTTTTTTTTAAAATATTTTTAAAAAGTAGAATATCGTAATTAGATATAATAAATATAATTAATAAAATTAAATTAATTTCTTTATATAAATTTTTTTTAGATATTAAATTTATTATATGTAATTTCTCTTTATATTTTTTTTCTTGTAAGCATTTTATTTCATTTAAATTATTAGATAAATAATTTTTCATATTTATAATATCCGAATCTATATCCTGAATTTTAATAGTATTAAGAAGGAAATTTTTATATTTTTTTTCTAGCTTTTTATATATAGTAGTTTCTATTTCTATTCTGATAGAATTTAAATTATTAATTATTTTCATAATCTCTTCAACGTTAAAAATATCATTCACTTTATTTAATTCTTGTGAGAAAACAAATTTTACTTTGTCTTCTAGATGGTTGTTATTTTTCAAATGATCAGAAAAGAAAGATGTGTCATCACCATGGTTTGAGTTCTTTTTTTTATTAACATGGTTATTAATATGTTTATTATTCTTGAAGTTATTTGTATCCCTGTTTGTTATATTTACCTTACCACAAGTATTATTTAGACTGCTTATGTTATTTATAGAATTATTATTATATTTATGCTTATAAACTTTAAGTTTACAATATTTATGTTTATCATTTGAAACACTTTGTTTATTTGCATCACATTGTTTATTTGCATCACATTGTTTATTTGCATCACATTGTATATTTGCATCACTTTGATCATTTGCATCACTTTGATCATTTGCATCACTTTGATCATTTGCATCACTTTGATCATTTGCATCACTTTGATCATTTGCATCACTTTGATCATTTGCATCACTTTTTTCAATTGTATCACTTTCATAATTATTTTTATTATTTTGTTGGGAAGAATATATTGGGTCCTTATTCCGCATGTACGGCTTGTCTTTTAAAAATTCATGAGGATTATTTTGTTTATAAATAAATACATCATTATTTGAATAGAAATAAAATTCTTTCCCTGTAAGGTGATTTATACTATTATTTATGTCGAAAAATAGAATATCATCATTTGGTACTTCATCATTTTCTTTTGAAATATCTGAAATGTTAAGTATCATGTTGCTATCTTCTTGTTCTTTCATCATATATATTTTATTTTATAATAGTTTTTTTTTTTTTTTTTTTTGCAGAAATGTATTTGCATTTTATTAATATTGTAATTAGGTAAACCGTAAAAATAAGGGATATTAAAAAAAAAAAAAAAAAAAAAAAAAGACGAAGGGAAGAAAATATTATATAAATAAATCATAAAATATGTGGTTACACAGATACATATATATCTTTAAGACATTAATAATAGAAATGAATCTGTTAGTGTGGAAAATATATATATATATATATATTATATATTTTTGGTTGAATTAGTATATAATTGAAGTACAAAACAAATAAATAAAATAATTGCATTTCCCCAGATTATTTTAAAGTTTAATTATATACACTACTTATATATTTAAATATGTATATATATATATATATATATATATATATTTTATATGTCCCATATTTTATCTTATAACTAATATGATAAAACATATAATATATATATATAATATTAACCTAAAATATATAAAATATACAAAATATATAAAATATACAAAATATATAAAATATACAAAATATACAAAATACACAAAATATACAAAATATGTAAATTAAGTAAATTATGTAAATTATGTAAATTCTTTAAAAAACAAAAATAAAATAAATAAATATATACATATTACATAAGAACGGTATAAATGTCAGAAAAACAAAAAAAAAAAATAATATATACATATATATATGTATAATATATACTTTAAAGGTATTAAAATGTAACATTATATTTAAAGGCTCATATAACATATTTAATACAATACGATATACATATATATATATATATATATATATTTATCTCAAATGTTATAATAATATATAAATATAATATTGTAAGCACTAATTTTTTTTTTTTTTTTTTTTTTAATTTCATATAATGTAAAAGAATTTAAAAATTAATCTTTCCTTGTTTGATTATAGTATTATTATTTGAGAAATAGGAAAAAAAAAAAAAGAAAAACATATATGAAAGAATAAAAAAAAAAAAATATATATATATATTATATATTTGTAGGAAAATTTTAAATCTTATTATTAAAATAATATATAATGATAAGGAGCAAATCAAAATAATTTATTTGTTTTATATTATCGTATGATTATGTTTGTATTTGTTCTTATATTTTGATTTTATAGTAAGCTATTTATTCATAAATAAATAATAAAAATATATATTATATATATTAATGTGATGTCAAAAATATGTAGGCTATAATTATTATTAACCTTTAGTCTAATGCAATAATTGCTATATGTTATAATATTTATATTTATATTTGTTGTTTTTTTTTTTTTTTTTTTTTTTTTTTTCCTGCAATTTATTATTTCAATTTGTTATATTTTTTAATTTGTATATAATGAAATTACATGTGAGTTTATTTTATTTTTTTTTTCTTTTCTTAACATTTTTTAACACATTAAAAGCTCAAGTAAGATTAAAATTAATACACATAAGAAAAAGAAATATAATTTTGTTTTTCTATGAATTTATAAACATAAACAATTTGTACATTTTTAATTTTTTTAGGATAATAAAAATAATGTTGAAGAAGCAGGTAAAGAGAAAGTTGAAATGACCCAAGAAGAAAAAGACGAAATATATTCTGAATTTGTTGATTATGATTTAAATAAAGATGGTATGATTTATGTTTTTTATTGTTTTTTTTTTTTTTTAAATAAAAAAGAAAATTTTATATGACCTCTATTGTATGACTATACGTATTAATATAAAAAGATATACACACATATATATATATATATATATTATATTTATGTAATAGTAATATAAGTGTTATAAAATAGATATAAGTACAGAACAATTGTTTTGTTTTGTTTTGTTTTGTTGTATTTATTGTTCTTTTTTTTCTTTTTATTTTCTAGGATTAATTGATGCTGAAGAAATTGTTGTTACGTTAAAAAATATGAAAAAGGAGGATTTTATAAATTTTTTTAATAAAGTAGACTTAGACTCTTCTGGAACAAGTAAGAAATATTTTTTTATATATTTTATTAATTATAGTGATGATATTATATGATATATATATACATATTTTATTTATATTTTTAACATTTAAATTATTATTATATCTTTTATCTTTTTTTTATAGTTTCCATTGATGAGTATATGTTATTTATAAACTCCAACTGAAGGATGATGATGATAATAAATAAAGCACAGTACAAAATAGAAGGATGAATATTTATTTAGAATATATTATATATATATATATATATATATATATATATATATATATATATTTATGTATATATTTATATGCATATTTTTTTTATTTTTTTATTTGTCCTTTATAAAATACTTTTTTATATAATTTAATAATTAATATTAACATTTTCTTTTTAAAATTTTAAATGAAACCAAAGAATTAAAAATTAATGAGATTTATTTAATATAATAGATGAGGTGTATAAATAATTCTCTCTATATATATATATATATGAATACCTTTTTAATTTGTTAATAATATTTTTTTGAATTTTAACTTAAAATTTTATGTACATTTTATATTTATATATAAAACTAGTAAAAATATGACGTGTTCATCTAAATATATCAATTAACACATTGCTTGATATATATATAAATATACATATACCTTTAAATAACAAATTTAATAATATAATTTATCAACAAGAAAAAAGATAATTATCTTTCAACACAATAATAGTTAAATAAATAAAATACATGTGAATATTTATAGTATTATATTCTAAATAACAACAAAGTTCAACAATTATTATTTTATAATTACATAATTAAAAGAAATTTTTAAAAAAATGTATAATTAACAATAAAATTTATAACTTATTCATTCATTTTATTAAACAAAAATTTAACATATATATATATAAATTAATTCATCATAATATGAATAACAATATAAATATATATGTATAATTTACATTCCTTGTAAATGATATGTTTATGAAATACATATTTTACTTTATAAATTTTTTAAAAAAAATTAAAATAAAAAATATGGATGAAATAAATGTAATATTTTAATATAGCATTTAATGTTTCTACATTATATTTATATGAAGATGAAAAAAGGAAAACAATAAATTAATTTTATTAATTAATTTATTGTTTCTTTTTAAAAATTAAATAAAAAAATTTTTTAAATTTCCGATGAACCGGAATCGAACCGGTGACCAACAGATAACCATTTCAACTACAGTCTGCCGCTCTACCAACTGAGCTATCATCGGTATATTATTTTAGCTTTTCACACAAAGTAATATGAAAATATAAATATCATTATGACACAATGTATACGTACAAGAAATATATATAATATATATTTAATATAAAATATTTTATTAAATTTATATATTTTCTGTATTTTTCTTTTTAATTTTATGAATTTTTATTTTCATTTAAAAATAAACAAAACAAAATTTTTCCCTTATTTATTATTATATTTATATATTATACAAAAATATATTATTAATTATATATATATATATATATATAATGCTTTGATTTTTATCTTTCTTAAAAAAAAAAAAAAAAGAATCGAATTTTTACCATATTTTATATATATCATAATTTATTTATAAATAATATATAAAAATTTAAATTGTATAGAATTCTTTTATAAATATTAAAAAATAAGAGGAAAAAAGGTATATATACTATTTGTGTATAAAGTAAATTCATTTATTAATTATATAAATAGAATTTCTTGATGAAGGGCGACTAGCTCAAGTGGTAGAGCGCTCGCTTAGCATGCGAGAGGTACGGGGATCGATACCCCGGTCGTCCAAAGAACAAAAAGTTTTTTAATTTTATTATTTTATATATATATATATATATATATATATATATATTTTATATTAAATATAACTTATAAATAAATAATAAAGAAATTTTATTGTATATTTAAAATTATAATTCCCTTTAAATATTAGTAATTATATATCTGAAGAACTTTTTGAAAATTAATAATATTATTATTTTTATCTATCAATGTTAATAGAATTAATGAGAATCTATATATATAATAGCACTATATATTAACTTTGTTTTTACAAAAAAATGTATATTATATTTATATATTTTGTATTGTATTGTATTTTTTTTTTTTTTTTTTTTAAGTTGTAGTAATACAATAATTATAGAAAACATATTTTTAATTTTGTTTTTTTTTTTTTTTTGCAATGGAAATACATAAAAAGAAAAGAAAAAAATATATTATGAATGCATTTTTAGTAGTGTTGGAAATGTTATGTTTTTATGTCGATTGTAATTTTATATATAATTTATAGAAATGAATGAAATATTAATATATTAAATAGAAATAATTAAAATAAAAATAAAAATAAAAAAATATAAATAAATATAGTATAATATTATTTGTATGTTTAAAGAAAAAAAATTTATGGTATTCTGTCTAGATTCCTAATTTATATTTTTATATGTTTGTTTATTTCTACATATATTCATCTATATATTCTAGTATAATATCTTTATTAGATTTTTTTTTTTTCTTTTTTTATTGTAAAAGGTATCAACAACATAATAATCATATCCAATTAAAGTTTTGTAGATTTTGTATATTATAGGTATATTTTGTTTTATATGTATTATATTATTTTTTAAATAATGTGGATATTTTAATTTATTTAAAAATAAATGGAATGGCTTATTATTTTATTATTTTATGTTATTCTATATATATATATATATATATATATATATATATATATATATAAGATTGATGTAAGATTTTGATGTGTTATATTATTTAGTATATTATGAAAATATAAAATATTCTTTTTTCTTGTTCCGCTTCGTTTAATATTATAGTGGCTTTTGCGTTCCTGTTATTATGAGATATAGATGAATTACTGTATATGATACTTTAGATCGTTTGATGTTTTTCTTTTTTTTTCCGTTTATTATTTTTAACTCCATTATTTTTTACTTATTAATAATTATTTTTCCCTTCTACAACATTGCCCTCCTGGGTTCCATCTTCATAAACATATTTGCATTTACAATTAAATCTTTGGGAAGAATTACGGTGTGGTTGAATGTGTGATAAGGACTTATGTAATTTAGCTAATTCATTGCTATTATTGGCACTTATCTCTAGGGTTCTTGTTTTTTGTTTCATGCCCTTAAGACCTATGGTGCGTGAGGTCGATAGGAACGAAAATATAATTAAAAAGAGTGATATATAAAATTTCATTGTGTCGAGAAATTTATATATGAAATAAAATATATATAGTGGTATTTAAATATTGAGGAAACAAAAAAAAACAAAACAAAACAAAAAAATTAAATATAGAGATATATATATAATTTAACAAATGAGTAGAATAAAAAAATAAAATGGACAAGAAAAAGACTAAGAAAATAAAAGGTTAAATTAAAAAAAAAAAATAAAAAAACATAATATAAATATAAAAAAATAATTATGATAATAAATATATTTATTTTATATTTTTTAAAATAATATAATTAATGTTGTAAAAATATATATTTTCCGTTTGATTTAGCTTTAAAAAAAAAAAAAAAATTAAATAGCTACAGAACGATTCCTTCTAGCTAAAAAAAAAGAAAAAAAAAAAAAAAAAAAAAAAAAACAAATACTTACAGCCATATACAATATATATATATATATATATATGTGTCTTAAAAATACATTTAAATTGGAATAATAAAATATGATTTGATTTGAATAAATAAAAGGATAGACGTATAAAAAAGGTAAAATCCTTGACTTTTACAAATATGTTAATAGATTAATATTTCAAAAAACAAAAAAATTGTTATCAAAGTTTATATATAAAAATTATATAAATATATTTATATTTAAAAAATGACAATCAAAATAGAATAATTTTTATATAGGACTGTATTATTTTTATTTCATGTGATGTTATATTAAAGTATATAATTTGGGTTTATAATGAATTATATATATATATGATATAACTTCATTGTGGCTCCCATAATATATTTTAAAATTAATTTTTATTCATTTTAATATATTTTCTTTTTAAACCAAATCACTTATTATTGTAGTTAATACAACAATAACAGTTGTTAATTATGATCTAGTTTTTTTTTTTTTTAATTTATGTATATTGTTTTTCATTTAATTTTTTTATATATATTATGATTTATGGAGAAATGGAATTAAATAAGAAAAGGAACTATTTGCTTTTGTATTTCTCAAAAGGATTATATTAAAAGACAGAAAAAAATATTCTGTTGAAATCTTTGTGCAATTTCTATGAACATCATATCAATATTTTGGACTTTTAAAAAAAAAAAAAAAGGGAAAAGGAAAGGAAAGGAAATGAAATGAAAGAAAATGAAAGAAGAAAGGAAGCATAAGAAAAAAAAAATATATGGGAAAATAATATTTTCTAAGTATTTTATTGCAAAATAATTTTATAGAATTATATTTAATATGTTACTGAATATATAACTTTAAAATATTCACAATAAATCAATAAAAAATATAAAAATGTATATAACATTGTTTTGTATAAATCAAAAAAAAATACCCTTTTAAAGCAATCATGCAAATATTTATATATATTAAATTAATAAGATCCTATAATTTTTACTTTTTCTGTAGAAGGAAATATAAAGTAATAAAAACATATTATAGATGTATATATAATTTTTTTTTTTTTTTTATTGTAGGGTGATATTATTTTCTATTTAATTATATATCATATAAGTTACTAGAAACAAACTTAAAAAAAAAATATAACAATTGGAAAAGGTAAAAAATAAAAATAACATTTAATTTAAGAATTTTAAATATTCATAAATACGAAATTACTTTTATTTAATAATAATAATACATATAATATATATATATATATATATATATATATATATATATATATATTTATTTCTATTATAATATATATATATTTATATAAAATATGAGGTGCTCTATAATTAAAAAAGAAAAAAAAAAAAAAAAAAAAAAAAAAAGTACAAAATAATTTTTATTTATTAATTTTCCTATATAATGTACTTTTTTTTTTTCTATTTTATTTAATTTGATGTCATTATTTAAATATAAGAGATTTTCTTTTCTTCTTATATCAGGAAAATATGGTCACTGAATTTTTTGCTGACATAATTAGTTTTTTTTTTTTTTTTTTTTTTTTTTATTGAACTAAATTAGAGGGGAATACAATAAAAAAAAAAAAAAATTTATAAAAGAAATAATAATTTAATTTAATAAAAATAAAAGTCTAAATAAATAAATATATATATAATATTAAAAAATATAATATTGTTTATTATCAAATTACTTTCCACTTAAAATAGTTTCGTAGTCTTTTAAATTATATATATATATTTCATTTAAATATTTTTCCCACCTTAATATTCATTTGATTTTTATTTTTTTAATTAATATTTTTATTTTTATTAAGAGTACGTTAATAATAATAAAATAAGAGAAGGAAAAGTAAAGAAGTACAGTACGAAAAAAAAAAACTAGCAATTTTACGGTGGAAATGGATATTACTGAATTGTATGCAAATATAAAAAAAAAAAAAAAAAAAACGATAATGCTGTAGATTTTATTAATTAAACGAAGCAGTTCATTGTTTTTCCTTTATATATATATATTAAATAATATTTTTAATAAAAAATGAAAGAAAAAAAAGCTTTATGTTTTATATATATAATATATATATTTATTATTATATTAATTTAAATATTTAATAAAATAAAGTGTGTCATCATTAACGTATGAATTATATAGATTATAAGGAAAAATATGTTATGTATTTCCTTGTATATATTAAAAATTTATTTTACAAAACGGAAAAAAATTTATAAAGAGAAGGGATAAATTAATAAATAAGTATATGTTTATATATAAATCAACTAAACAACAACAACAAAAAAAAATTATTTATATAATTATTTATAATAAATAAAAAATAAAAAAATTTTGTATGAATTTAGTACTCGGAAAAAAAAAAAGAATATATATAATATAATATATATATTTTTATAATTAAGTAATAATATTATAACTATTGTTTATTATATTATTTATATATATATATATTCTTCTATTTTCTTTATATATATATATATATATATATATATATATTTATTTATTTATAATACTAATAACTAAAAAAAAAAAAATATATATAATATATATTACATATTTTGAATTGTGAATTTAGAATAATGTAAATATTTATATTTATGG